CTACTTGGGAGGCTGAGGAAGGAGGATCACTTGAACCCTGGAGATTGAGGCTGCAGTGAGCCGTGATTGTGCCGCTGCACTCCAGCCTGTGCAACAGAGTGAGACCCTGTCTCAAAAAATAAATAAATAAATAAATAACTAAAAGAGAGCAACTCAGCAATAACTATATATTTAATTATTATAAGTATTATGTTTAATAATATAATTATATTTAAATATTACATTATGTAGCACATCAAAGTGTATCATATGAAGTTTTTCATCTCCATCAGTCTCTCTTATTTTGATAGTAATGATAAAGCACTGGCCCAACTTAATCCTCAGAATGTGTTTATTGAATTAAACGGTAGCCATGGAATTCAGAAGAACTTACTCGAAGAGCTTTAAAAGGGCAATAACACTTATGATTTTCCCTATTAGAAAAGTATTTGTTCATCATAGAAAATTGGAAAATTCTGGAAAACACGAGGAATAAAAGAACAATCATGCCTAATTCTATCATTCAGAGATAGCAATTGCTACTAATATTTTGGCATATTTTCTCTAGCCTGTGTGTGTGTGTGTGTGTGTGTGTATCTGTGTGTATGTGTGTGTGTACACAAAGAAAAAGTAGAGGAAATGTCATTTTTTATACAAATATAATATAAAACAAAAATGAGATCACATAGTATACATTGCTTTTAGACATATTAAAATTTATTATATCATGAGCATTTACTTTTGTTAATAAAGTTTTATAAAACAGGATTTTTAATGGCTGTAGATTATTTCATTATATAAATGTGCATAACTTAACTAATCCCTTATTTTTGGTCATTGAGGTTATTTTAAAATTTTAGGCCAGGTGCAGTTGCTCACGCCTGTAATCCCAGCACTTCAGGAGGCCGAGGCGGGTGGATCACCTGAGGTCAGGAGTTTGAGACCAGCCTGGCCAACATGGTGAAACCCCAGTTCTACTAAAAATACAAAAATTAGCTGGGTGTGGTGGTGGGCGCCTGTAATCCCAGCTACTTGGGAGGCTGAGGTGGGAGAATCGCCTGAACCCGGGAGGTGGAAGCAGAGGTTGCAGTGAATCAAGATGGTGCCATTGCTCTCCAGTCTGGGCAACAAGAGTGAAACTCCATCTCAAGACAAAACAAAACAAAACAAAACAAAATGTTTTAACCCGCATAAATAACTCCCAATTGAGTATCGTTACATATAAACTTTGTGTATGTTTTTGACCATTTCTAGAATAAGTTCCTAGACGAATTACCAGAGGTACCAAGCCAAAAAGGGATGAGCATTTTTCAAGCCTCCTAATTTCCCTCCAATATTAAGTGCGCGTGGGAATAATTGCTATATCTTTTTCAACTTTGGATATCAAACTTTAAAATTATTGTTTTTGGGGAAGATTTAGGCAGATACTGTCTTCAGATTATAGAAATGTCAACAGAAGTAGCCTAAGGGAAGTTATACAGTACAAAATTTGACATCTGAATCTTGGAAACATTTTCAGTTAAATTTATATGTGTTATTTACTTCATTAGTTGTAGTGTCTAGTTACATAAACTGATCAAACAAGCAATGTCACTGAGTCACAGAGACTGACTCGAAACCCTCAAAGGTGGCCCAATCTCCTACCAAAAGATTAAGCCCCTCCTGTAACATTTCTTACTAAGGGTTATTTCTGTTTAAACACTCCCAAGACCTAGGCCTTCCTCACTTCACCAGGTGCCCCTTAAAGCTGGTTTTCACTTATGTAGAATAGGCCTGTGTGGGCTTACCCACCTCTGAGTCCTTGAATGGGATCCAGACTGACTTCACAACAAATGTACCATATTGTGGGTTTATATTTCCCATAAGTTGTGAATGGTACATATTATCTTCATTCCATATTCTCAAATTTGCAATCAACTAGGGATAATCCTAAAAGAACCTAGGAAATATTGGCACTGGACATAGGTCAGTTTCAAGCAAGCTAACTATGGTGTTACACACGACTATGTTAGCGTCTAACTGTGCCTTTACCTCTGACCATGATGAATTTGCTACTGAAGAGAATATCTTCTTGGATATTGCCGTATGATCCTGCAGCATGGATAGGGAAATCGGGCCACATTCCCAGGCATCTAGAATTATTGGAAGGTACAGTGCTTTTGTAGGGTCACCAAATGTGATGGCTTCTTGTTTGTGAGTTAGTACTGCCAGAATAATAGTACTTTGTGGTCATAAATTATTGCACAAGCATTATCTTCTTTGAATTTCTAAATAATCCTGTGAAGTAAATATAGTCATTATACTTTTCTTGGTATTATTAGTTATAAATACATATTCTCAGTTTTAAGGATGAAGAGGTCAAATTTCTGAAAAAGTCACACATCTAATTAATTTTAACTGATGGGTAGTGCTTGAAAATCAAGAACAGAACTTCGAATTCCACATTCTGTGCTGTTTTTACCACTTAATTTAATATAATACCTTACCTGGCCCATTGTTTCTGACTTAATGCCTACTGATTTTACATGATACTGTGAAGTAAACTCTTTTTTTAAAAAATTTATTTATTATTATTATTATTATTATTATTATACTTTAAGTTCTAGGGTACATGTGCATAACGTGCAGGTTTGTTACATATGTATACTTGTGCCATGTTGGTGTGCTGCACCCATCAACTCATCAGCACCCCTCAACTCGTCATTTACATCAGGTATAACTCCCAATGCAATCCCTCCCCCCTCCCCCCTCCCCTCTCCCCCCTCCCCATGATAGGCCCCGGTGTGTGATGTTCCCCTTCCCGAGTCCAAGTGATCTCATTGTTCAGTTCCCACCTATGAGTGAGAACATGCGGTGTTTGGTTTTCTGTTCTTGTGATAGTTTGCTAAGAAGATGGTTTCCAGCTGCATCCATGTCCCTACAAAGGACACAAACTCATCCTTTTTTATGGCTGCATAGTATTCCATGGGGTATATGTGCCACATTTTCTTAATCCAGTCTGTCACTGATGGACATTTGGGTTGATTCCAAGTCTTTGCTATTGTGAATAGTGTCACAATAAACATACGTGTGCATGTGTCTTTATAGCAGCATGATTTAAGTAAACTCTTAAGAGTCCTATATGAGTTTTAGGGTTTCTCTAATCCAGGACTAGGTTAAAACAACCCTGTGGATTTTGACCAGATACAGCCCTTCAGAAAAAAAGTCTGCATTTGTGTACTGTGTCCACACAGCCAAAAGATTTATTTTAATATTTGTGCAAATTTCATCAGCAGGAGAAAATAAGGGCCAAAACCTTTCTTGTTGGATTCAATTGCTTGTCCCCCCTTGTCAAAGAGGACACTTGAAACCCAAGAAGCCAGTAACTGGCAAATGGGAAGTGTATGCTGAAACGGGGCACCTTTGCTGTTGATGAAAAAAGAATTGGCCAAGTTGGAGAGGCCAAAGATGACCCCGTTTGTATCTAATTTGTATTTTTTTGATATCCGTCTGCTGCACAGTTACAAATGTTGGCATCTAGACTGTGGAAGAAAGAGACAATATAGGATGTCTGAGCCCAGCATGACCTTTTAGCTCTTTGAGTGAGAGCTCCAGAGTGAAGATAAAGGTCATGTTGCAAGTGAAGTATTGAGACTTTCATTAGTCCATGAATCAGAATTTTATTTCAGCCTCACTCTTCATGCTGACACCCTAGGGTGTAGTAAAACAGAGTTCTAATCAAAACAGCATAATGAAATATAATCTACAAAGGAAAAGGTTTATAGGTTAGCTTTCAAAACAGACAGGTGTTTTGGCATTTTAAGAATAAAATTCTGTAACTGACAAGTTTCTTTTGTAGTTGAATAGGATCTGTAAGATGTGTTTTTTTTTTCACAGCACTTCAGCAGCCCACAGTAAGACCCTTCAAGGTCACATAAACAGAATGAAAATGGGGCCCAGAACATCATCCATGCTAGAAGCCGTGGAGGGCAGAGGGGATAGTAACACTGTTTTCTGTGTGGCTGAACTAATTCTACTCGATCAATTGGTTTGTTCAAATAGTCAGTGTGAATAAACAAATATTTATTTAGCAGTTATTTAGTCGGCCCTCAGAAAATATTTATTGAGGGCCGACTCTATGTCAAGAACATTGTTAGATCTTGTAACCCTACCTAGTCTTCCACTGGCACACATGGAAGAGAACAATGAGGAAGTGAAAGAGAAGTTGTAAACTGAAGAATGAAGCCATCTGATATGACATCACGCTATTTGCACAGCACCATGTTTTCCCCGGCTCATTGCCTTGAGAAAACTCGTCAGCTACCCTTTCCTTATGGAGATTTAAGACTCTAATTCAAGACATTAAGGAATTAGGGATTCAAATCCCGTATTTCTCCATCCTTGTTCATGTTATCATTAGCTTTTGAAAATGAAGAATGATTTGCCATATTAGTCATTGTGTCAGTGAAAACTCCATGGAATTTGTGTTTTTTAAAACATTCTATGACACGCTCATTTTTAAGATATACAGCTTTTATGCATTAAAAATGCATGAAATGTAGACAAATTTTAATGCTGACCGGAGCATATGTTTACTTACACCAATTTATGTTATGTTCCGAAGTTTGAGTCTAAACCTTTGTCATGTTCTAAGTCTAAGGTTTTTCCTGAACCATTTTCCAGTATCTGCCGTGATGGCAATATTGCAGTGACGTCTGCGTCTTACAACCCATGTTCCTGCTCAGGCCTCCTCAGCACCAGGACAGTGACTGGCTGCTATGCCTTGGATGCACGTTGGAAAAGCCTGTGTCTACTCTTGTTGTTTTACGTCTTCCTTGTTTGACTAATGGCTCTCTAAGAGGTCAATTGCTTGATGCTGTTGATAGATAGTATTTTTGAGCCTGTGTTATGGTTCTTCATGGGTTCACCTCCCCTTGCTCTAAAAATTTTGTCATCTATTCCAACATATTTAGCTATGCTCATACATGTACAGGCAATCACATTTCTTTGAACATAGATTTAAAAATTACTCTTTATTTCAGAATTGTTAAAATACGAAGACATATAATCTCGGAATCAAGGAAAAGAGGGCAACTGAAAACCAAGTATTCATGTTGCTTCCCAGGAAGATGACGGGCTGGACAAAGGAGCTGAGAAGTCAGGTTTGTACTTGCACGGTGTAGGGTCATCACTTAGCTCCATGTGCCTCCTCTGAGGGCACGGGTGTATGTGTGGTTGACTGCTTTGATATATTCCATTTCGGTTTGAAAACACCCTGAGGCAACAGTGACCAAACTACTTTTATCCATTCACAAACATATGAAAACCAAATGTGGATCTAGGAAAAGAGATTGTCAAATAAATTAATTTTTGCTACTACTACTAGTATTTTTTTAAAAAATAGCGCTGAAACCAAACCAAAACACAATTATTTTTCTTAGCTTAAAAATTCAATACTCATACTCAGAAGTTTAAAAAAATACAATATTTATGAAGTAAATGAATATTTAACTTTTTACAATTAGAACATGCACCAAATATGCCAAGAGGAAAAGAAAGAAAATCAAAAGGTCTTCTTTCTAATACTTAGTAAAAATAGTTTACACAGAGAATCAGTGTAGTTGGTTCTCCAGAAAAGGCTGATTATCAGTTACTAGAAATAATTTATACATTAACACGATGTTTATAGTTTTTATTCTAAAAGTTATAAGCACAAGGCAAAGAATGATTTTTCCTCATCCTTTTGAGAACAAATTACTGATCGAATACCCCATTGCCTCTGACTATTCTCTGCTGTATTTCCTATAAACAAGAATATTCCTACATGTGCTCAATATAATCATCAAAATCAGATAATTAATATTGATATGTTTCTACTATTTAATTTGCAGAGACAATTCAAGTTTGCTAATTGTCCTAACAATATTATTCTTCATAGCAAATGTGTCAAGTTCAGAATCCCCTGTTGCCCTGAGATGTTGGTGTGGTCTGGCTCTGTGTCCCCACTCGAATCTCATCTCAAATCCCCACATAATCCCCACAAGTCAAGGGAGTGCTGCGGCCTTCTTGTTTTCTTCACTCTGGAAAGTTCCTCATTTTCTCCTTGACCTTCATTATCTTGACACCTTTGAAGACGACAGGCCAATGCCTCTGGAAGGCCCAATAATTTGGATTTGTTTGATGTTTCCTCCTTATTATATACAAGATATGCATTGCTGGTAGAAATACCACAAAAACATGGCAGAAATACCATGAAAAACAAACACTTTGCTTTCTTCTCTCACTGCATCATAAAAGGAGGTGCCCAACGTTGATTTGTCCCATTACTGATAATGTGTAGTTGGATCACTCGATTAATATCTACCAGTCTACTTCACTGGTAGATGGAGTATTTAGTGCCGCCATAATAATAGTACTTTGTGTTCATAACTATTGCACAAACATTATCTAGTATATAATACACTAAAGTTAAAGTTATTCATTAAAGTTATTTATTTTCCTTTGCAATTAGCACATATTGGTGGGAAGTATGTTGAGACTATAAAAACATGAGGTTTCTCATCAAACTCCAATTGATTCATGTATTTATTTACATCTTGAGGATTTGTGTTTTCTATTTTATTCAATAAATTATATCCTGTTACCATCATGTATTTGATGGTGATTTTGTTTTCTAGCTTTTGCTAGCGAGAGCCTCTTTCAGGTGGCTTGGTGTCTTTTGTCACAGTTCTGTGTGGGGGCCCTTCCTACCCTGCTTGGGCTCTGACACCGGCATCTTCCCGGCCTGGCCCTGCTTGGCTGCCCTCCTTTCCCACCCAGGCTCTGCAGTGTGCTGGGGCCACCTCACTCTGTCCCCATCTGCTCTGACACCGGCATCTTCCCGGCCTGGCCCTGCTTGGCTGCCCTCCTTTCCCACCCAGGCTCTGCACTGCGCTGGGGCCACCTCACTCTGTCCCCATCTGCTCTGACACCGGCATCTTCCCGGCCTGGCCCCGCTTGGCTGCCCTCCTTTCCCACCCAGGCTCTGCACTGCGCTGGGGCCACCTCACTCTGTCCCCGTCTGCTCACTGGTGGCATAGTTGTCTTTCCTGCCCAAACCCACTCAGTGGCCTTTGGAATGAATTGTTCAGGAAGGGAAGAGGAAGAAGAATTTTTGTTTCCAAGGTTTTCTTTCAGTGGCTTTATCTGGACCTTCATTCATTTAGTCACAAATGTTTTGAGCATGGATATTTTGCTGAGGTCTATCTTAGTCTAGCAGATATAAAGGTAAGACACAGATGCCCATTTGGGAGCAGAAAACAGCAGGGAAGAGGAAACATGAGCACAGCCATCTAAACGTAGGGGCTGCTAATGTTCTACCGGAGGGAAGAGGAAGGGATGTGAGAGGGCCGCTCTCCACAGGCGGGAAGATGGCCTCAGAGGTCAGTTTCAAACAGGGCACATTCTAGGACAAGGAAACAGCATCGGCCAAGCTGTTCTCGCCCGTAGCCCACAAGCCACACGAGGCCCAGGATGGCTCTGAATGTGGCCCAACACAAATTCATAAACTTTATTAAAATCTTATGAGCTTTTTCTGTGTGTGATTTCTTTTTCTTTTAGCTTATCTGCTATCATTAGTGTTAGCACATTTTATGTGTGGCCCAAGACAATCCTCCTCCTTCCAATGTAGCCTAAGAAGGCCAAAAGGCTGGGCGCCCCATGGATAGGCAAAGGCACGGAGGCCTGAAAGCGCAGGTAATCTTTGGGGAATAGCAAGTGGTCACTGGGATCTAGAAGAGAATGCATAAACATGTGTTAAGATACAAGCAGGGAAAAGAAAGGTTAGGGCCAGATTAGAAGGACTGTGAATGTCATGTTAAAGTTTAAACTTTGCATATTGGAGTTTGTGCTTTATAGAGAAAACGTTGGCAACAGTGTGGAGAAGAAATTGGAATTACATAGGAGACCGTTTTAGGAGAATATTATCCACCTTTTTTTTCCAACTAAGCAAAAGGCCCAGGATTCTGGTCTGCACCAAGGCCTCCAGAGAGAGTGAGGATGGGGAACTCTATGCCTCTAGGTCTGAGGCAGAGGGGTAGCTGAGTAAAAAAGTTCTAATGTACATCTGTTGCATTTCTGAGGTGTAAATACTCCCTCCGTGACCAGTTTTAAGCTATCAACATCTCATTACTGAGCAGAGTTTGGAAGGCATTAGCATAGTCAACATAGCCAGTGCAGGCCAGCTCTAGCTTACTCCTAACAGGTGAGGACGTGTCCTGTAAGGGGAAGGGAAATGAGTGTAGGATTACAGAGAATGACTTTATGCAAAGATGTGGACTTTATGGGACAGGTCAAAGACCTGCACAAGAAACAGCTGAGGCTGTCTAAGGCTGAGTCAAGCACCTGGTGGCCTGATCCAAGGAAAAGCAGGACCGAGCCCTGGTTCTGGTTGCCTGGGGAAGAGACAGTGTGAATAACAAGCTGTGCCACTGAGGGAAGACCCCTGAGGGCAGGTTGAGGAAACCCAGGGCCTATGAAGTATTTAGCAAGAGTTCCCTTCCCGGTCAAGGACAGGGCTGTGGCAGGAGGCGGCTTCGAGGGTTTAGAGCCACTGGCAAGCTGTGTTCTCAGAGCCTTCCACTGGTGTGCACGATCCCCTTACCTTTACTAAACACTTCCACTTTCTCCTCTGTCATACACTTCCCCCAAGACAAGAAAGAGCTATGAGTTTGAATCAGGGCTGAGAATAATAATAATAGCAAATCATAATGAGTAGCACTGAGCTCTGTGATGTTACAGACACTTTTCTAAATGCTTTATATGTCTTAAGTCTTTAACCCTCACTGATATGATTTTTATTTTATAGATGAGGAAATTGAAGCAGGAAGAGATGAAGTAATGTTCAGGTGAAGTAGCTGGAGAGGGTACAGTATTAGAACATGCCGTAGAGGGCTGACTCCACACCCATGCTCCACTCTGCTACACTGGGGAGAAGAAAACATTCAGGGAGGACAAAGTATTGGCATCTCGAGATACCATGCACTGCATAATGAGGTAGGTGAGCCCATGACCTGGCGTCTAACAGACATGCGAGTAATGTGTTTTGAATTAATAAATAGGCAACCTCTCTTGCATCAGTTAATCTTTATACAGTGAGAGTTTTATAGGCCTCACTGTCTTGCGTTTTGATTTTGGACATCAAAGATGATCTTTGAGCAGTGTGTTATAGTTTCCCAAACAATAATTTGAGAAACACTGGAAGAATATGCCCAGCTTCAGTTTTGAAATATTGCATCAATTCTTCTGCTCCTAGATCATGGAGCTCGTTCTCATCAATAGATTTAATTAATTTAGATATTTATTTACAACAGCCTCTTTTCTCTTGACCTATTCTGCACGAGGCAGGCCTGGATAGTGTGCTGAGGGTCTCACTCCGCGATAGCTGGTGCTCTAGTTGAGTCTGTGCACAGCGGCTCCATCCCTGTCTCAAATCAGTGCTCTGGCATCTGTCTTTACCCTCCTCTGAGCTTACTGTATAAAAAAAACCTGCTTTTGAGAGACATCAAGAATGCACGGTTCCATCTTTACGATGAGAGACAGATCTCCCATTAAAAGAAGAATTCTGCATTTTGAAAAACCGAGTAGGTTGGCACTTAAAAGGGAATTCCAGCTGGTTAATTTAGGGTGCTGAAAAAAAGATCCAGCACAAGAATGTTTTCTGGCTGTGAGCCCACTGCATTTTCAACTGATTGCAAACTGGAGACATTTTCATCACACGAGGGACTTTGCTTTTCAGTATCACGTTGTTCTGAGACAGGAAAACAACAGTTTGGCCCTGGTATCATAGCTATATTCACGAACATGATCAATGCCAGTTGCATCAGAACCAAAGGTAGCCTTACGTTTGCTGATGTATTAAAAGTAAAAAAAAAAAACTGAATGAAAATTTAAAAAAATTTTCCCTCTTGAAGTTTTTTTTATTCTTGCTTCCTAATTTTCTTTTCTGTTGTGTCTATGAAAATATTCTGAAGATATGAAAAGAGCTTTAGGTAAAAGAACAGTTTTGAAAATTGTTAATTTCATGTGGTATTTTTTGCCCCCAGTGGCTAAACGTGAAAAAAATGTATAGAATCCTCTGTGGGTCCAGGCAGCTCCCCAGGGCCGCTGTCCTCCGTGCAATGATCCAGCAATTCATACAGCTTTCGCCTGCTGCTCTACCAGCTCCACACCAGACCCGGTTCTTTGACAAAGAGAATGAGAAGCTTAGGTGCTGTTAGAGGCTTTTCGTGGTTTGGCCTGAGAGTGACACACACTGCTTCGGCTCCCGTTTCCTGGGCCGGAAGTTGTTATGTGGTTCTGCCTAACTTCAAGCGTCTGGGAAGCAGAGTCTCCCATCTGCCCAGAAAGAAGAAGAGAGCTGGATACTGCTGAACACTGGTAATGGCGTGTTGTCCCATCATCCTTCCCAGACGCCGGCATAGTCCAGATGGTCCGTGGTCCAAGTGAACAGAAAAAAACCCTAAGCTTGCTGCCACCTTTACAAACTAACAAAGCAAAACACCTCCCATTGTGATTTCTTGTTTCTATGGAGTGTTGAAGTTTCCCTAAATAAATTGTCCCCTTCATAGACTTTTCTTTTCCATGTTTCTCTTATTCCGTTCATTTCAGCCAAAGGAACGTTGCTCCCGTCTCTAGGTAGAGTCTGGACACCTTTTGCAGCAGCCGTAGACCCAAGAATTGATGCCCTCAGAAGCATGTCCACATTTGAATTACTTCAACTCTGAGTGTTCTCTGTGCTATTTATTGTCAAGGCATTTAAAACCGTAGGATGCAGGTGGCCTCAGTACTGTTAGTGCACTGCCTTGGTTCCCCAGCCTGCTGGTAGGACTGATCCTCCAAGTGACCAAACTTGGGGATGGTTGGGACGCGTATTGACGTCCTAGGGATCCAATATTCATTTATTCTGTTTCTAACACTGTTCATTGCTTTGTATAAATCCAAGTTGCTGTCTGGTATCATATTTCTTCCTCCCAGAGAACTCCATTTAACATTTCTTATATGTAGGTCTGTTGGCAATGATTTCTCTCCGTTTTTATTTGTCTGAGAAAGTCTTTATTTCTCCTTCATTTTCTCTCAGGGAATAAAATACTGAGTTGAGTGTTTTTTCTTTCAGCACTTTCAAGATATCACCCCGTTGCCTTCCGTATGGTGTGATTTCTGACGTGAGATCTACTGTAATTTTTCTGTGCTCCTTGTTATACAATTTGTAAGAACTATAAAGGGTCTGAGCTTTTATCCTACTTTTAAGCTAAACATTTACCTGCCGTAGTTTCATAGAAGCTGGTAGAAGACAAGAGACAACAAACAAATGACAACGAGCCATCAGTGACACACTTCATAAGATGTTCAGAAACAGGAGAAAGCTGTGGAAAGCTGGCTCCCAACAGCAATGTGTTTCATTGGCTGACTTCAGGATTTCCTATCTGTGTTTTGTTTTCAGTTTGAATACAAAATATATGTGTTCAAGCATGTACATGTGCTCGTGTGTGTGTGTATATGTCTCTGTGTGTATGTGTGTGTGTATATGTGTGTGTCTGTGTGTATACGTGTGTATGTGTGTTGTGTGTGTCTCTGTGTGTCTGTGTCTGTGTATGTTTGTGTGTGTGTGTCTGTGTCTGTGTGCATGTGTCTGTGTGTCTGTGTGTGTGTGCATGTGTCTGTGTCTTTGTGTATGTATGTGTGTGTGTGTGTGTGTGTATGTGTATGTGTGTGTGTATGTGTGTGTCTGTGTGTGTCTTTGCGTGCATCTGTGTGTGTCTGTGTGTGTGTCTGTGTGTATGTGTACGTGTGTGTATGTGTGTGTATGTGTGTGTCTGTGTGTGTGTATGTGTGTGTCTGTGTGTGTCTTTGCGTGCATCTGTGTGTATGTGTCTGTGTGTATGTGTACATGTGTGTATGTGTGTATGTGTATGTGTGTGTCTGTGTGTGTGTCTTTGCGTGCATCTGTGTGTATGTGTCTGTGTGTCTGTGTGTATGTGTACGTGTGTGTATGTGTGTATGTGTATGTGTGTGTGTGTGTCTGTGTGTGTGTGCGTGCATCTGTGTGTATGTGTGTGTGTCTGTGATGTGTGTGTGTGTCTTTGTATGTGTGTATGTGTGTCTGTGTGTTTGTGTGTGTATGTGTGTGTCTGTGTGTGTGTGTCTTTGTGTATGTGTGTGTATGTGTGTGTGTCTGTGTGTATGTGTCTGTGTGTGTGTGTGTCGGTACTTACTCCTGCGTGGTATTCTCTGAGGTATTTGGCTCAGAGATTTGTTGTCTGTCATTGTTTGTGACACTCTTGGCTATTATTTCTTTTGGCCTGTTCTCCTCCTCTCTTTTTCCTTTAGAGACTCCACGTAAACGTGTGTTAGATCATTTGATATTCTCTCACAGTGCTTGGGCGCATTATTCTGTTTCTGCTGCTGTGTCTTAGCCTAGGTACTTTCTATGGACCTGTCTTTAAGTTCACTGATTCTTTTCTGGGTTATGTTAAGTCTTCCAGTGGGGCTGTAGAAGATGCTTTTCATCTCTATTACTGTCTGTTATTTCTGGGATTTGAACTACATTATTTGTTACGGTTCCATCTCTATGCTGAAATAATCTGTCTAATCTTAAACATCATACACCTCTTTATTGAAGGCTTTAACTTATTAATCATAATTATTTTATGCTCTTTATCAGATAGCTCCAACATCTGTGTCGCACCTGAGTCTAGTTATGCAGATTCCATCTTTTTTTTTTTTTTTTTTTTTGAGGTAAAGTCTCACTCTGTCTCCCAGACTGGAGTGCGGTGGTGCCACCTCGGCTCCCTGCAAGCTCCGCCTCCCGTGTTCAAGTAATTCTCCTGCCTCAGCCTCCCGAGTAGCTGGGACTACAGGTGTGCACCACCACGCCCGGATAATTTTTGTGTTTTTAGTAGAGATGGGGTTTCACCATATTGGTCAGGCTGGTCCTAAACTCCTGACCTCAGGTGATCCACCCGCCTCAGCCTCCCAAAGTGCTGGGATTACAGGTGTGAGCCACCACCCCCGGCTGCAGATTTCTTTGTCTCTTGGCAGCGCATTGTTTGTTTCTGTCTTTTCACGTACCTTGTAATTTTTTGTTGGAAAGTCACACATCTTTTTCAGGACAGTAGAGACTGAGCTAGAGGTTTTTATGTGTGGAAGTGGGTGTTCTGTGGGGCCTTTAGTGTGGGCATTTGTGTTCATCTGGTGAGGAGTTGGGAGGGGTCTGAGATTTATGGTTGCTGTAATTATCCTCCACGCTCCACAGTCTTCAGATTCCTCTAGCGATCCTCTGTATTTGATGTGGGGACAGTTTCCCCCAACGTGTTTCTCAAAGTCTGCTCCACTCTCAGCATTAGGCCCTCCCTCCACGCTGTGCAGTGGAGAGCAGCGGTCTCTTCTAGCTCTCCCCACAGTGTTGCACCTGGCTCCCCGCAGTGTTGCACCTGGCTCCCCGCAGTGTTGTACGGCACCTGGCTCCCCGCAGTGTGGCACCTGGCTCCCCGCAGTGCTGCACCTGGCTCCCCGCAGTGCCCTGTGGCACCTTACTACTCGTGCTCCAAGCTTGTTGGTGCAGGGAACGGTGCCGGACACATCCTCTGCTGTTCTGACCCAGCCTCGGTCTCCACCTGTGTCCTTGGCTCACAGAGGTGTGACCTTCGTGAGTGTTTCTCCTCCTTAGCTCTAGTTTTGATCCCGGAGCAATGCTCTTTCTAGATCTCAACATCACAGATCGGAAATCAGAACTGTTAGTTTATTTTTATCTCTTAATTTATGGTCTTCGATTTGCCCATGTAATGTCAGGAAAATAGTGCGATTATTCGAACTGTCCCAGATGTAAAAGCCAATCATTTAGGCATCTAGGGAGAACCACCAAGATACTTTGTGGGAAACAGAAGTCACGTTGGACATTATTCCTACTTCCCAAGAGCTTGTGGTCTAAATGGCAAATAGTTTCTGGTAAATCCATAGTTAAAATCTGAAATGTGTGATCTGCCAAGAATAGTTGAATGACATCCAGGAAGGAAGTGAGTGACGACTGAGGTCAGCTGCCAGGAGGAGGTGGGGCTTGGAGATGCATCGCGGAATGCAAAGGGCAGGGGCTTTGCTGTCAGACTCGGCAGGCACAGACTCCCAGCTTTGCCTCTTGCCTGGCGTAGCATCTCAGTTAAATGGCTACACCTCTCTTTGTCTTAGTGGATACAGTTGTGCTGATGATATTCGACCTTCGGGCTTACCAACGGAACCAAAGGAAATAATATGTGAAGACCTTCATATAGTTCTCAGCTTATAGAAGGGCTATGAGCCATTAGAATTTAATTTGTTTTTGTTTTTTCTTCCCAAAACCCAATTTTTAAAAATGGTAGCTTTTGGATAGGCAGAGAGAAGCCAGAAAGGAACTCTAGAGGAGGGAAAAACAGAAGTGAAGTGCCTGGATTTAGCAGTGATGATGATCGGTTTGTGGCACACTGAGACCAGCCTAGCTAGAGCAGCTACTGAAAGTGACAGGAATTAGTGTAACTCGAGGGCAAAACACAGGCAACAAGTGCACACTTCTGACAGGTTTGGTGCTGAAACCCGCACCTGGTCTTTTAGGCCAGTATCAGACCTGCCTCATCAGGGCCCATACATAGACTTGCTGCTGCCCTTCCTTACAGCGGTGCACTAGTGCCTTTATTTCAGATAAGACAGAAGGAACAATTTCTTGGGATGGGACAGGGTTCACCTAGTTCACCACGGCAGGATGTGGCTCACTTCGGAGGCTGTATTAACCAGGTCTTCCTTTCTGACGCTTTGATGTCTGCAGTCTTGCCTGCCGCTCCCAGAGTTAGCCGATTCCTAGAGATAGTAAAGGGTTCACCTTCTAGTGTGTCTTTCAAATGCAAACCAACCAATCCAGAGCCGTACCCTCAACCCACTTATTTAGGAGCCCTGACTCAGGGCCATGGTTCTGCTGCCTTGATCACTCAGGGCCAGGTCCTGGACAACTAAGGACAGCCCCAGGGGCCGTTAAGATAATTCAAACTAGCCAATCCTAAACCTGCTTATCCTGCCTCATGTACCTTCCTGTGGGAACTGTAATGAAGACTCTTGCCTGTGTCTTCCCCTCACTCCCTCTGCCTCCTGAGTGACCCCAGTGTTTTCCACGTGGGCCTCTGGCGTGCGGAGCCCACTTGTCCTGGGAACTGTGAGTATCAAATCATCTTTTCAATCGTATTGTCTTCTGACCTGCTGGCCTCACCACATCTGAGCAATCATAAAGCATACCTCTTAAAACAGACACAAATCCCCTTACAAGGATGGGGCAGATACTGGTTACATGTTCACATCGAGAGTCTGGGCTGACAGGAAGAACCCAGTGACTGGAAGACAAGGAGCAAGAACAGTGAGTTAGGTGGGAGGTGGCTAAGTGGAAGGTGTTTTGCCAGAGTAATGGGGGTGACATGGAGGAGGAATGAAGCCCAGCGAGGGCTCTGTTGAGAAATACATCCAGGTAGGGGCTTGCAGCGTTTCTCAGGGTTTTGGCACCCGCGGTGGTCAGGGGTTGGTACCCACGCTCTGAGAGACAGGGCCTCAGGCTAGAGG